ATAATAAATCTATATCGACGTCTTAGTGCTTCCACCCGAGTTTGATAATTACTTCGAGCGCAGAATAGAGCCTGTTGCATTTCTGGACATTCGGACGCTGATTCGCTATGGTATGGCTCTGGATTTCTCGCGTGGCAAATCAAAACTGGTTTTCCAAAAAACACAATAGAATATGCCTAGGGACATGAAAAAGCCGGTTAATTTTGATTGTGCTCTTCGTGCCAATTTCTCTCGCTATTACAATGATTCACCAGCCAATCTGATCGTAGACACGGGCGCCGATCACTTCTATATTTCTACGACATGTCTGAAAAAACATTTAGCCATGAGCGGCGGTTATGTGCCGCGTAGCGCAATCATCCACATGTCTGACCATGACAACCTACAAGCAAAATGCTACGAGAGAAAAGACCCCTCCCCCCATTGTATTATGGGGCTAAAAGTTCTACAGCAGTACCGAAGTATTGTAGACATCCCTTCAAAAAAACTGTATTTCAACGTTAATCAAAAAATATACAGTACTAATATGCACTGATTTTTTTTTTTACCACACCTGACTTTTTCAGTCTAAAACAAAAGGAAAAATTTTATTTTTAATATTTTTCTACAAAGAATGTTTATTTTTAAGGATTTTTTTTTACAAAAAATTTTTATTTTTAAGGATTTTTTTTACAATGAATATTTATTTTTAAGAATAATTTTTTACAAGGAATGTTTATTTTTAAGGATATTTTTTACAACGAATGTTTATTTTTAAGGATTTTTTTACAACGAATGTTTATTTTTAAGGATATTTTTTACAACGAATGTTTATTTTTAAGGATACTTTTTTACAAGGAATGTTTATTTTTATGATTTAGCTAAGTGAGAGTGCTGTACTACGAGGTCATGTGGCGCCTGGGGAAGGACATAATATTCAAGGCCAGTGAAGGGGAAGGACCGATCCAATTCCTTGCATCAAGAGCCTCTCAAGGAGGCACCTGGAAAGATGATGCATTATGTAACTGTTAACCTGTGTACACAATTAAAGGGAAAGTTGAGTACATGTGTATTACCAAATGGCAGTGAAAGAACCGCATGTTATTGTGTTAGGAATGAGAGGCGGTGACGGTCGTTATTGACACACACTGATGCAGACCACGGACATGATGCAGACCACGGACAAGATGATGCAGACCACGTACAGGATAATGCAGACCACGAACAAGATGATGCAAACCACGAACAGGATGATGCAGACCACGAACAAGATGATGCAGACCACGAACAATATGCAGACCACGAACAAGGATGATGCAGACCACGGAAAGGATGATGCAGACCATGAACAAGATGATGCAGACCACGGACAGGATGATGCAAACCACGAACAAGATTATGCAAACCACGAACAAGATGCAGACCACGAACAGGATGATGCAGACCACGAACAAGATGATGCAGACCATGAACAAGATGCAGACCACGAACAATATGCAGACCACGAACAAGGATGATGCAGACCACGGAAAGGATGATGCAGACCACGAACAAGATGATGCAGACCACGGACAGGATGATGCAGACCACAAACAAGATGATGCAAACCACGAACAAGATGCAGACCACGAACAGGATGATGCAGACCACGAACAAGATGATGCAGACCACGAACAAGATGCAGACCACGAACAATATGCAGACCACGAACAAGGATGATGCAGACCACGGAAAGGATGATGCAGACCATGAACAAGATGATGCAGACCATGGACAGGATGATGCAGACCACGAACAAGATTATGCAAACCACGAACAAGATGCAGACCACGAACAGGATGATGCAGACCACAAACAAGATGATGCAGACCATGAACAAGATGCAGACCACGAACAATATGCAGACCACGAACAAGGATGATGCAAACCACGGAAAGGATGATGCAGACCACGAACAAGATGATGCAGACCACGGACAGGATGATGCAGACCACAAACAAGATGATGCAAACCACGAACAAGATGCAGACCACGAACAGGATGATGCAGACCACGAACAAGATGATGCAGACCACGAACAAGATGCAGACCATGAACAAGATGCAGACCACGAACAATATGCAGACCACGAACAAGATGATGCAGACCACGAACAAGATGATGCAGACCACGAACAAGATGCAGACCACGAACAGGATGATGCAGACCACGAACAAGATGATACAGACCACGAACAAGATGCAGACCACGAACAAGATGCAGACCACGAACAAGATGATGCAGACCACGAACAAGATGATGCAGACCACGAACAAGATGCAGACCACGAACAGGATGATGCAGACCACGAACAAGATGATGCAGACCACGAACAAGATGATGCAGACCACGAACAAGATGATGCAGACCACGAACAAGATGCAGACCACAAACAAGATGATCCAGACCACAGACTGGATGATGCAGACCATGGACAGGATGACTACCCAAACCAGCAAGAGATCCCCTGCCCACAAATCAATTTAGGGCTTTACTTAAAAATCATCTCATCTCTCACCAATAACCATACTCACACTATGCTAATTACTAATCAGGTTTGAAGCAACTCTCCTAGATATTTTATTATCCCTTATCTATTAAACCATTATTACAAACCTAAAAATGTATGTTTGTATCATAAGTTGTACTACCACATATTAATAACAGTAAAATATTGAATATCTGAAACTTGCCACTCTTTGCCTGTCTAGACTTAAGTATTCATGTACTGGCATGATAGTGGCTTTCTTTGTACCAATCAGATTATGAAATGTAAACACACATTGTAACCTTTACAAAGAAATAAACTTTTGTGTTTTGTTTTTAAGTGCTGTGTATAACCAGGGCCTTTTCAACATATATGAAATGAATATTAGTTTTGTAACAATAATGTACTGTACATTGTTAAAACAATTTTTGTGTTGCTGTTTGTTAGTTTAAATGATAAGGCATCAGACATTACTATTGTTTTACATTATTATTACAGCACTGTACATTTATTTGAAAATACCAGACCTGTAGCAGATTATTACATTCATGTGGGAGTGCTAAACCCATAGGGGTTATACATCATGGGAATGGGTTTATGACCAAAATCCATATAGGTCATACAGCAGAGAAATGAGAAGCAATCAGGTTTGATCCAAGGAAGGAGAGGGCATGTCCTGGTTTCCTTGGATAAAAAGCCACTCATCAGCATCAAGGCACCAACTTTAAAGGAAGGTGCTTGTTGTTGTTGTAGATTCGCTAGTATTATAGCCCGGCCCGGGCCTTTTCCATGAGGTGGCCCGGCCTTGGCTCCCTGTCGTGGGAGTGTCTCAGACCAATGTTTGCTATGGGAGGAGGTACAAGTACCTCCTCATCATCTGGGACCAGTTGTCCTCAGGCCCAGCCTCAATCCCCACCCCCAATGGGGTTCAGAGGGAGAAGCTAGACACCTTAGGCTGCCTCAAACCCCGCCCACACTGGGCTCGAAGGGTGAGGCAGCTGCATAGCAGCAGACAATGTCAGGAAGTGCAAAGGCAGCAAGCGGTACAGGATCCTTTGGAGCCACACCCCAGCTTTGGGCCAAAGCCCGAGTGCTGGGGAAGCTCAAGAATGCCTCTTGCTGTGTGTTGCTGCTGCTGCTAATACTTCACTTGTCAGTTGCACTCTGTGAGGAAGGTGCTGAGAGAACAATGACTAAAGGGATAGAGGTCACAGTTGATGAAGCAAATCAGTGATAGAAAATCAAAGAATGGGACCATCTGAGAAGGTGAATAAAGGAAGCATATCAGGGTATTCAAGGTGTCTGAAATAAAGTTGGCATACTCTCTGATAAACAAGACATCAAATGTTAGACTGCAAGGAAAATCTTCACAGAATTGCTAGGTGCCCCTCCACTAAGTAGTTAGAATTTGTCACCCTTGAGCATCCTTGCTCGCTGGAATACCTTCTTATGTTCATAATTTCTCCATATATTCTATTGGGGCAACTTTCATGCTTGTTCTAGAAAGGATATAGGAAAGTATTGGTTTGGAAATAGGGTAGTTGATGAGTGGAAGTTGATGAGGCTAAACAAATTTAGGTTTGCTAAATGCATGAGTGAGAGGGGTTGGATTTGAGTGGGACTTGCATGTGAGTGGATAGGGTTAACAGAGCTTATTTTTTTGGGTAGCATTGAAAATTGGTTGGGCAAATGTTTTGTTAGTGGGATGGATTGTAAAGGACCTGCCTAGTGTGGGCCAACAGGCCTGCTGCAGTGCTCCTCCTTTCTTATGTTCTGTTATCTGCAAACAATTATATATTACAGGGAAAAGATTATTATAATGGAGGAGTGCTAAACCCATAGGGGTCATACAGGACCTTGGGGAAATGGGAAGCATTCAAGATTTGACCCATGGAAGGGAGGGGCATGTCAAATTCCATGTAACAAGAACCCCTCACCAGTTTCAAGAAACCTCTCTTGAAGGGGGGATTAGAAGCAGTGTTATTTTCATTGACCCCCATTGGAAATGAGTCAATGTGACTTTAATGGGTTATCCTAGGTAATTTACACATAAGTTGTGAATATGTTTTCTTCTTTGAGTTACCCTACCTTGGTGGGAAATGGACATTCTCAAAAACTGGTAGACTTACTGTAAGTCTGTATATAACTTAAAATATGCTGGTAATTTTAATGATTCTCCATAGGGAAGTGTAACAGAATTCTTCCTCCATAAGCCATACGTGTCGTAAGAGGCGACTAAAATGCTGGAAGCAAGGGGCTAGTAACCCCTTCTCCTGTATAAATTATTAAATTTAAAAAGAGAAACTCATTTTTCTTTTTGGGCCACCCTGCCTTGGTGGGATATGGCAAATTTGTTGTAAAAATAATGATATATAGCTTACCCAGTACTCTGTGTTGTGAAATCCATGACATGCAATAGTATAGTGAACTTAATTCTAGGATGAACATGATATTGACAATATACTTCAAAAAATACTTTACGGGATAAATAACACACCTCACATCACCATTAAGTTAATCCATTTAATACAATGATTTTTGCTTACATTAAAAATACTGATTTTTTCTTAAGTCCTATTCATAATAACTACACTGTATAATATTATAAAACAACCAGGAATGTGTATGAAAAAAATATTTGTTTATTAATATTGGCATGAAACTAACTAAATTTTATATCAGAGCTACTATATACATTATAAATACTGATATAAGAATCTTAGGAACCTGACACTTGATTAACCTACTTTACAATAAACAAAGAATTTCTTCCTACAAGAAAGTGAATGATTTTAAGCAATATTTGACAAAACTAATGATATAATTGTTTCTGGTGTAATGAGAAACTACTGAGAAACATTATCCAAGCTCCACCCAACATTAGACTTTTTCAAGTACAGTACTATTTGAAAAAGCCCAATGTTGGGTGAAATGTTATTATCCAAGCTATTTATGAAATAAAAAAAAATAATATACAATATCTAAAATAAAATGTATTCATACAAAATAGTCTACAGTTCCCTTATCTTTATAAAATATATACAGTAATACAAAATTCATGGTCAATAGTTTTTCTCTCTAATAATAAATACTATAAATACTTCCTATGCATCTTTGGTGATTTGACTTCTGTGAGAGCTCTGTTAAAAGTAAGTTTTCTTGCATAATATTATCTTCTAAATATACTATTTCCAATGCCTTCAAGCACTGAAGACCCTTAAAATTATACTCTAAATGTTTGCCAAAGATTTCTCCCTGTTACTCTCATATTTGTGAAGCCATTGCCAAGAATTTTCACTAAGAAACAATAATGTGTGCAAAGCAGGACTGCCCAACAAGCATATATAAGAAAGGAGTTGGAAAAAATAAGAATCAACAGAACTAAGGAGGTGAAATGAAGAAAGTTAAAGATTGAGAAAACTATAATAACTGCAGGAGCTATGTGAAGGTGGAGAAAATGTGGAGACGACAGGTGGTGCAGTGTGAGTGTAAGTACATACATGTATCTATTTGTAGCTAATGGACCCATCAAAAGCTCCTAATGCAAAGAACTGGAGCTCTACTTCCTTGTTTTTTCTTTTTTTGTTTCTTTTGCTATTTTTCTCATTTGTATATACTTTGCACACATTCATGGTTCTCAGTGCTATGTAGTGACAGTGACCTACGTGATAGCCAACTACCATGTAAAAACAAGCAAATGTTTGAAGTATTTCTTCAGATTTTTATATGTGGAAACAGTTTAAATTTTCTGAGGAGGATTCTACAAGAGATTCTCATTTCTCTCAAGAAAGGGAAATGTTTAGAGGATATAGAGAATAGTGCATCTTGACTGGTGACCAAGTCAAAGTCAAATGTTTTGCATGTAGACTAATGTCTCTTGACTAGCAACGGTCTTGAGTATCATCAAAATAATACATGATCTAACCAACTGTTGTACATATCATCATGCTTACATTACACGTCAACTAAAAAGCCTTTTTAAGAGATGAATATAACAAAGAATATAAAATAATCTACTATTATAGTGTAAAAACTGCAGTGAAGTATTACATGACTTGCATAATGTATACATGAAACCTTTATAATAGCAACATGTGGCCAGTAAGGAGAACTAATCTCTGAGAAGGACTGAGGCTTGATGACTGTGTGAGACCACAATGGTACCTGGGTACTGCTCCCAAGGCTCACCATCAATCTGCATTGGAGCCATTCCTTTCAGGCACAGCTGTTAGAGAAAAAGAAAATTTTGTCAATGACCCTCTGAACTGCAACATCCTCACCCATCTTTGAAAGTGCAGGCACTGTACCTCCTATTCCCAGAATCCAAGTATGTCTAATCAATTTATCTGAATCCTCTTGTACAGTATATTAACTTGCTCACACACTAACAGCACATATTGAATCATGCTCTAATGCTATGTAACTTCTGCCTACTCAATAATCTTATGTCCTCACAATATATTTTTCTAGTCTAAAGAATTTCAATATCCTTTTCTAATAAAAGAGATGAACACTGCATACCTTTAAAGATGAACATTGGCCAAGTCTGATGGGTTCACTTATACCAAGTTGTAACTGCGCAATATGAAACGACGACACAAGACAAAATACTTCTAAGAGTCCATCGCTAAAGTCTTGCTTGGGTGCATCAGCTCCTCCTTCAAGTTAAAACAATGAAGTGTTCATTAAGCTAAAAGTGCACACTACAAAATAACATTACTTTCATTTTTATTTATTAAGATTTTAAAACATCAGCCATTTCCCACCAAGGCAGGCTCACCCATAGAAGAAACCATATTTACTCTCACTTGTTATCTGTCTTTTCAGAAATGTGTCAACATTAAATTTCAAATTAACCGTCAAACCTCGGTAACCCCATCAATGAAGAGTGCAGGGACTGTACCTCCCATCTCCCGAACTTAGGTACAGCTATATGGTATTCCTGATTCCCTTCATATTACTTTGCTCACACTACAACAGTACATCAAATCCCTAGAACTATTTCTCTTTACTCACTCTGATCAAACATGCTTGCACATGCCTCCTGGAAGATCAAGCACCAATCACTTAATTTTTCTTCCACCCTCTCCTTGCCTCTAGCCTTCCTTCCTTTTCTTCTATCCACCCCAGATTTGTACAGCCTCATGGTCAGCCTAGTCTGCTATATCTTTTGTATATAACCAAACCATTGTAACAACTCATCTTTTGCTATCTGAATTATGCTTTTCATACCACCACACCATCTGATTTCTATGCTCCTTATTTTCTACATGATACACACACACACCATCACCACCATCTCCATTGCCCCAGCCTCCTCCTCATAGCAACATTCAAAGATCATGCCTCAGATTCATAGAAGAGAGATGGTACCACTATACTCAATTGCATTCACCTTGTTGCATACACTGATAAAATTTTCATTCCACAGATATCCCAACACTCCACATACCTTATTTCCCTCATTTATTGTCTTTCACTTCATTTTTATACACGTATCTGCTCCCAAAAACATGTAGTATCTAAATACCTTCGTTTCCTCCCTCCTTCCTATCTAATGTCAAATTTTTCATTGCCTAGATTTTTTCTTATTTTCATATTCTTGTTCTTTTCTATGTTTTCTATGCATGTGTAGTGTGACTACACATGCATGATCCGATCAATCCCACTGTTGTTCCCAACAATTAGGTCAGGCAATGACAGTGATGCTCCTGTACTGTGCAAGAGGCTAATACTTTTACATATACACCTTTCAGTGAAAGGCCAAAAATAGTGAATAAAGATGTAGAAAATATAGAAGCTTCACTGTTTTGTACAAATTTTGTAGGCAAAACACCCTCAACAAAACTACCACCATGAATATTGAGGATCCATATGTGCTAGGGATTACTAGGCTTAATTTTTTAATTGTTTCAGGTTAGTTATCAGTGTTGGAGAGGTCAATTTTACCACAGCTGACTTCATTTAGACATTTTGGAGGAATGAGTGTACACCTGGGAAATAATAGTAGTGTCATATAGAAGTGAATGCTACCCTCAAAACTCACATTCAAGCATTATAGCCTATAAATCCTAGGATTAACAAGTGGATAGTGAATTTTCAACCTTTAATGACAAAACTGTTAAACCAAGCACCATATTCATCTGCCTTCCATTAATTTTCAAAGGAGGAAAAATTACATGAATAAACCTTATCAACTCTAGAAACAAGGACCTTACCATACTACTGAGTCAGTTGAAACTATCACCATCCTTAGAAAAATTATTAAAATAAACTGTGTCCAGCAAAAGTTCTGACATAGTTACTCTAGTGTAAGTTGGTTTCATATGAACAGCAACTCTGGATTTACCAGAACCTAATTTGTCAACCAGGTACACAACATGGGTAGTCTGATAAAACATAAGCCATATCCATGCTAGAGTCAATCAAAGGGATCATTCTTGTGCAGAAACTAGAAGACATGGTAGAGGGAGTGAAAAAAAAATATTTCAGAATAAAAATATGTCTGTCTCAACATTCTATCATCACAAAGGTAGCCAACTCATACTCTTCCCAGCACACAACTGCAGTTTAAGCCAAAAGAGAACTGATAGGCACTTAACTGGAAGTGCTTCTCTGAGAATAGAATGCACCCTGGGGAAAAAAGGGGATAAGTTCCTCGAATACAAGCTGTTGGTTCACCCAATGTAACTATCACAGAGAATATGGTAGCCCCATACTGTGGGTGTACCCAAACTTGTTTAATAAAAAAAAAAAAAAAAAACTCAACCTTTTCCCCACCATGGTAAAGTGGTAAAGCTATGAGAGATACAGGGAAAAACTACCCATAGCATTAAGAATTCTTTTACAGTCACAATGCTATGGAAATCAATACAGAAAATTTTGGCCAAAACATTTTATGTGATACATCCTACATAAAATGCAATTGAAGAAAAATGAACTAACCAACCCCCATTGTCCAGGGCCTTACTCCAGCACCCCAGCTTGCGATGTTGAGAACCACGACAGCCTCGAGATGGGTAGTTGCACTTTCTGGTTGTCCATATAGAGCTCCAACTTCTTGTCCAAGTCTTTACATTCATGCTCAAAAATATCCTTAGTCCCGAATGTGAAGTAGATCAACTGTAAATGTAAATGTGTTAAACTTTTCATGGTGCTAACAAATGAAACAAATACTGGAAAACAGTAAACATATAAGGACACATTGCAATATCATAAGATTTCTTTATAGTATATAAGACTGGAAGATAAAAACAATCAACAGATACAACAAGTCCATTATTTATACTAGTTTATTGTAAATGCTACAACTGCAGCTAAGGCATACAGTAATAAAATACCTTGAAACATTATAATTATCATAAAATAATGTGCATAGTGTTAGACATCAAAAAAGAAGAAATACCACCAAAATTTTGTGTAACAGGAAAACACACATTCAGTAAGCCTTGTTCATTTATACTGATTTTACAGACAAGTACCAATAAATATTTTTTTGCCAGCTTCAACACAACATACAATCTCAAGTTTTCTTTTGACTTCATTTTTATTTTTGTAGTTTTATTTAGCAAACTATGCTCTTCCAAACAGTAAGAAAAAGTTTTTTTCAATAATGTGCCTTATATACAGGAAATATAATATCTAGGCCTGGCACACTTTAAGAGTTAAAGTTAAAAATGAAATTTACTGGCAAACATAATTTAAAAAATAATTACAAACTATTACACTTTATTCTCTTGCACTGGTATTATCATCATTAAAACTGAAACTCTGAATGTGCCCAGAGGAATTCTGAATTCTTATTTAAAAACTTCAATCAAATTTAAATCTTTCTTTCAACAAACCGGCTGTATCCCACCGAGGCAAATTTAAATATGCACTATAAAAATTATGGTGCTATGACACATTATGGCCAGTACATAGAGCATGGCTACTCCTTAACTATTACCCACAAAACAATGATGAGCTAATTTCTGTAAGGCCAAAGCAAAACAATCTCATTATGCAAGAGAGATCTTATAAAGTACTGTATACCAAAGATGACACAATACAGTACCAATATGGGAAAAAATAGGTCTTGTACACATAATGAAAAATAGGAAAATAGGACTATGTACATCTACAGCAGAGATTGCCAATGTGTTAAAAAAATATAAATACATAACTTACTTTATTGATCAAGCGGTTACATATATAAATGGCACTTGGGCGTCTGGTCAAAGTTGGAGAGTAACCAGAGTCATCGACACAAAACTAAGTATGTGTTCTGAAGCGCTCACTGAAGATATAGGCAGTCTGTGCAAGTGATATATATGGTGCTTTAGCTAAAATATTTCATATATTGATAGTGATTTTTATTTAAGTACAATCTAAGTGAAAATCTGGTCGCATGGTGTGCTATGTTCAGCTTGGTTATAACAATAAAAAACTACATGAAACCCATTAACCACCATGTACTGAAGGGGTATGCAATTGGATCAATAAAAACCTTGCTAAAAAAGTTTATTCCAATCTTAACTATCAACTTGAGATTTGCCTTGAATGGCAAGAAATAAACTGTTTAATAAAGAAAACAAAACATACCGAGTTTCATTTTGTATAAGCGAACATTCAGTCAGTTTGGCTGGTTCTGCGAGGCCTACTTCCTGCGATAGTCTACTATAATCCAACATATTTATGTGACCTTCACAAAGCCAAGTACAGGGAAAGATCATTGCCTGATTCAAGCTGCAAACAAGCAACCAATGGACTTACTCTGTAAGAGTTAGGTGGTTAGCTGAGACTTAAGTCCTGAAAGTTGAAATACTATACCTGCACTCTGAGGGAGGAGGAGGGATGTCACAATCTGAAGGGTCATTTGAATTATATTGTCTGAGCACCTCTGGCAGGACAGCTATCGAATGAATGATGGTGAATGTTTTTCCTTTTTTGGGGGGAAGAAAGAGTTCACCCTACCTTGGTGGGAGACAACTGATGTGTTCAAAAAGAAAGAAAAAAAAAAAGATAAAATTATATTTATGCCAAACCTTACTTACACTGATACTTACCTCTGTGGTCTTCAGTAAGGTCCTAACAACCAATTTGTGCTCAGTAATGACCTTCATTTTTGACCACCAGGTGCTGTACCCATCCCATGATCAAAATCACCTAGAGTTAAAAGAATGCATCAAAACCCAATGGTCACCATACCCTTGTTGGATAAATACTGAGTGCAGACCTTGCTGGTGATCAGAAACGTCAATATCAATGTGAATGAGATGTGGTATATTCTGGGTGGTATCCCCAGGTCCTTGTAACTTAACCTTTAAACCGTTGCCTGTCAGGACCCTCTAACTATATAATCCTTTTTCCCTCTTACTGCAATATAAAAAATGTCAAAATAAACAAACAAATTTTTTTTAGTAAATTACTTTTACCAGGTATGTGACTGAACAATTAAGTGGTGCTGAAGCCTAGTTTTGTGGGTGACTTGATTTCTTTAATAGTGCCAGAATATTTACCAGATCCCTAGACCTTTTTTGACAAAGATTTATTTGGGGGGAGGGGGGGGGAGCAATAGCAAAAGTCAGTGAGCATCAATTAGCATTTAATTTATTTTAATCATGAGGAAGAGCTAAACCCACAGGGGTAACACAGTGCCTATAAAGTGAGAACCATTCACATCTGATCCAAGGAAGAGAAGGACAAGTCCAGTTTCCCGGATCACTTTCCCATCACTTGTAACTACAGCAGAGCTAAGCTTGTGGTATCCCATCTTCAGTACACAGTCAACATAGTTCTACATGAAACACAGTTCAAGAATTAATAATACCCAGGAAATTTGTTTGGTTTCAGTCTCATTATTTTAAACTTGAAATTAGGTGTGTAAATTTCATGTTCTTCAATAAATATATGCAGTATATACAGTAATGTTTTTTTGGCAGGACCCCCATGAAACAGTACACACTAGTGCCATGGGTTCAGTGACATTAGCAAGGGAGAATATACACTGGAGTGCTATTGGTTCATCAATACCTTGCACCATGAGAGTGCAGTATACAAAAGAGTACCAACACTTTAGCAGCACACCAAATGAAAGTATATACACGTACTTAAGTACTATGGGTTCAGTGATATATCATGGAAGAGTACAATATACAGTTACTGTACCATGAGTTCAGTAACACATAATGGGAGGGTATACCCAGGACTGCCTTAGGTTCAGTAACACATAATGGGAAGATATACCCAGGACTGCCTTGGGATCAGTAATATACCAAGGGAGAGTACCATATACATTTGAGTTCCATGGTTTTGGTAATACTCTCACCCTTCTTCAAGACCTTTTCTAGTTTCTCTTCATCTTTTACTATTATTCTACCACTAATCATAAAAGTTTATTTGATAAAGTCTGAAACAATAATGATGAAAGTAAGATAAGCATCAAAAGAAAATGACATGATTACAGGACAAACAGCACCCTTCGGAGAAATCCACATAAACATAACAAAAAAATCAACATGGTTACAGGACAAAGGGCACCATTCAGTCATGTTTATGCCAACAAATATATAAGTAGTATTTATTTCCAGCAAGATCGATATTTTATCCCCTCAAAAATCTAATATTCTAACAGCATGGACATGGAAATGTGCAATAAGATACATTTAAATATTACTTCACCCTAAAAATCTCCCAAAGATATCAGAAACACATTAAACTTACCACCAAATTCATCTTGTGAATAACATTAAATATCCATCCCACTGTGCCATCTCCTCCAGCAACAACTACCCTACATTCAACGTTTGAAGGAAGCAGGCGGCACCATTCTAAAGCTTCCTCAGGAGGATGGTCTGCCAGATCACTGACTTGCGCAGGATTCAGGACATTTCGAAATGATGACAAGACACTCTCGGCCTCATTGCTGCCTGATTTTCTGTTTCCTGCCAATACAATGAGAGTTGGTTTAAAAGCTCATCATTTTATTAATGATACTGTCTCAGTTCAATACATACACATAAAAAACACAAATACACACACACACACACTCAAACGTAAACTTAGCAAAAAATAAACATAAAAATTACACAATTAATAGTTTCTTTATGCATCAACAGCACATTAGCCCTTAAACTGTCCAAACGTAGATCTACGTTTTTTTCAACATTTGAAAGTATGTAAAAAAAGTAGATCTTCTATTTTTTTTTTTTACATTTGAAAACGTGTAAAAAAACTTTGATCTTCGTTTTTTTTTGTTATATTTGAAAATATGTAAAAAAAAACGTAGATCTACTTTTGGAGCACTACGCATGTGAACATAGATCTGCTTGGACAGTTTAAGGGTTAAAGAAGTGACATAAGAAAAGACAGTGCAGTCACTAGATAAAAAAACATACTATTCTACTGGAAATAACACATGTTGCTAAAACAATAATTTGCAGGAAGGAAAAGAAAAAATGCCAGGAATAACTAGATTACATATATGAAAGGAAAATATGTTGATCTATGACAATATCTCTGAGAAGCATATTAGAATAGACTAATATCAGGTATAGATATAAACAAGAGCTCTGCAACATATATAAAAATATCAGAGAGCCTATTCCAAAAAAAAAGGACAAAAATGTTTTTAAAGTTACAGCACAAAGCCTACTATAGCATAAGTGCCAGTCTGGCAGCTAGCTATAGAGTACATAGCTATAGAATATTTCAATACCTTACCAGGTAAGGTATTGAAATATTTTGCATAGTTTTTTGCATCAAACAAAAAAATTGTCTATTCCAAAAGAGTCTCAGCTCCAAAGCTTTTGAATTAAACATTTTTAAGTATACTAAGTCAAAAAAATTGCTAGGTGCTTTTCTCTGCACAAAAAAATAGATGCAGGCATACAAACTTGCTTCTGCTGTCTAACTGTAGTTTCAAGGTGACGCTTTGAAAATGTAGTCAGACTGATATCTAGATCCATAGCTCCAGTACATTCAACTGCCAGGCTTTTTACCAATAACTTTTAACCTTTGTGTTGTGGATTTATGGTTGTATACCAAACTCTCCATCACTTGATCCAGAAATTATTTTAAGCAATTACATTTTGAATGCTGTGAAGTATTTAGCAGTCAACAAATATTTATTACATCCAGTAAAGAAAAATCCTGTATCTGACAAGCAAGAGAAGATGCCATTTTACTGAGAAGCAAATGGTTATATAATTACATAATAATCTGTATATCTTACTGCATGTTCTGCTTTTTTCTCAACATCCTTCTACCCACTACACAATAAACAACCTTTCATTTCTTACCAATAACAATCACTGGACTCCAGTTCTGAATCTCTGGTTGCAAAACTTCCTTAAACAGCAAACGCTTTCTCATTCTTGATAATTTTAACCGAACACAGTTTGGTGGCACAATGCACTCCTTCAGCTCTCCCAAATCACACACCTATATTGGATAAAATTCCTGTTTAGCTACTACTTATGTTGACTAAGCAATAAATAGCAAAGTCTGGCCTCAGATCAGGCTTCAAGAGCAAAGCTCTCAAAATGAGATGCTAGCAGGAACAGGATGGATGACCAGTTGGTAAATAAAAAAGCCTTTCCTTAGGACGAGCTATAAGGGTAGAAATAAAAAAAAGTTGACACCAGTCACAGATATGTCACACAGGTGTGTCACAGGCATGCATCACATATATATATTCAAAGCATTAAAAAATGAGAACAAGGCAAATTACTTAAGAACTTTGCTGCATTTAATAAATATGTAAATGCTGAAATAAAATTAAATCTAAATAAAGTTTATAACTCAAGTTTCAAAAAATCTATTTGGGCATTTTAGAAATTTTACTGGTGCAATACTAGGGAGTCACATCTGGCAAGATATTTTCAGTCATTTTGAACTCAAAAGGCAATTTCAAACATGATTCTTTAAACAGCATTATCATTATTATTTTGAAGGGAGCAAGGGGCAAGTAACCCCTTCTCCTGTATAAATTCCAAAATTAATAAGAAAAACTTTTGTTTTTCTTTTTAGGAAACCCTGCCTCAGTGGGATACAGCCAGATTGTTGAAAAAATTACTATTATTGCTGCATTATAATTATATTATTTTTATTAAAGAACAAAAAGGCACAATACCATGACTGGAACAATGCACAAATAACCTGCACATAGGAGAGAGGAGCTCACAATGACATTTCAGTCTGACTTGACTCATTTACAAAGTCACACTGGCTACCTCACTCTTTTCTATTAGTGTGACTGTAAATGGTCCAAGTCGGACCAAAATGCCGTCGTAAGCTCCTCTCTCCTATGTGAGAGTTATTTGTGCATTATTATTATTATTATTATTATTACGTATTATTATTATATTCTTCTTTCAACAAACCAGCCATATCCCACCGATGCAGCCTGGCCCAAAAGGACAAACGAAAGCATTATTATATTATTATTATTATTTTATTTTTAACACAGGCTATCTCCCACCAGGGTAGGATGACTCAAAAAATAAAAAAGAAACACATTCATACACTAGCCCTTGCCAGAAGTGCACAGGCATCACAATGCAAGTGACCCTTTGAATTGCAACATACCCACTCTGCCTTCAGAGTGCAGGCACTGTACTTCCCACCTACAGGACTTAAATCCAGCTAATCAATTTTCCTAAATCCCTTCAAAAATGTTACCTTGCTCACACTCCCACAGCACATTAAGTCATAAAAAACTACATACTTATCTCCACTCACTCTAATCTAAAACGTTTATAAAAGCATGCTGAAGGCTTAAGTTCCAGCACTCTCAACCTCTTATACCACCCTCCACCAACCCTTTCTGAGATGACCCTTACCCCTCATTCCTTCCACCCCTAATTTAAACATCCTCTTAGTCATCCTATTCTGCTCTATCATCTCTGGAAAATATTCACACCACACATTACTCTCAGAATGTGAACTTATTATTATTATTATCAGTGGGAGACGGCCAACTTGTTGAAAAAAAAATTATTTATATGTATTATATTCACCAAGAAACATTACTCTTTTGGTAGGAGGTATTTTTTGCTCCACAATGATGACACTTGCTGCTGCACCAGTGGGTTGGTGGAGACAGTCATCAGTGTGTATAGTTTAGGAGTGCTCTGTGATTAAGAGACTAAACAGCCCATGGCTTACAAATACAGTATTACTGTATTATCCTTAAATCCATTGATAAAAAAACATCTGTATGAAAAACAATTCAGACAGGGTCTAATAACAAAAGAAATTACTTACTAATCTAATACAATAGTCCAAACAAATGTACAGTGGACCCCCGGTTAACGATATTTTTTCATTCCAGAAGTATGTTCAGGTGCCAGTACTGATCAAATTTGTTCCCATAAGGAATATTGTGAAGTAGATTAGTCCATTTCAGACCCCCAAACATACACGTACAAACACACTTACATAAATACACTTACATAATTGGTCGCATTGGGAGGTGATCGTTAAGCGGGGGTCCATTGTATTATGTAAACAGATTTAATGAAATACAAGGTGATATGCAAAAGACCTGGAAAACCTTCTCTGAAATTTTGGGCTCTAGAAAACCGTCTAGAACAGAGAGATTAACTTAGCAAAACCAGACGAATCTCACGTACTGCCTGTAGACACTGCCAAGAAACTTAATGTCTTCTTTTCTACTACAGGATCAAACCTAATAAGCAAAATCCCAAATGCAAATATTCAGCCACTGGTAATTACCGAAATACTCTGTATCTAGCACCAACAAATCCTACTGAAGTCTCACTAATAATTAAATCATTAAAAAAACAAGGCAGGAGACCTAAATAACTTGCCACCAGTCATGTATAAAAAGGCAGCTCAGGTGCTGTCGCCCATTACTGCAACACTATTTAACAAATCTGTTGAGTCTTCAATATTCCCATCCATACTCAAGACAGCAAGGGTCACCCCAATCCTCAAAGGAGGTGATCCAACAGAACTAAATAACTACAGACCGATATCTAACTTACCTTTACTCTCTAAAATCTTCAAAAAAAAAAAAATAATACACAAATCTACTCCTACCTCACATCCCACAACATACTGAACACGTGCCAGTTTGGGTTTAGGCCAAAAAAAAGCAAATTCTCCATTTGCTGAAAGAATATGTCTCCTAATTATATCATGCCTATTAATGTAATTTTCATTAACTGTGCCTGTAACAGAGACTTTCTGTTTACTGTATGTATTACACAAACAAGCCTTGCCTCTTCCATGCTACTGACGCAGATGTCATGGGCTGACCGGTGACACCAACAACACCACCAGTCGTTCAACTTGGGCTCAGTTCCACAATCTCTCTCGCATACTTCACAGCTTGCATTAAGTGGAAGGTTACCTGGATAAAAATCACAATAACATGAATATCAGCACATGGCAAAATCAACAATTATAAACAAAAATGTGCATTCCATCATTTGAAAAATTATTTATTGAAAAACTAAGCACAAAATTACAATAAAAAGCCAGCAGCAAATTATTTATATAACACTGAATCTTTATTAACAATTTCTCAGTTTGCTAATATGTTATAGTGGCTTTACTCTGTTTAAAGCACTATTTATCACCATTCTTTTATTTATTATTAACACATCGGCTGTTTCCCACCAAGGCAGGGTGGCCCGAAAAAGAAAAACTTTCATTATTCACTCCATCACTGTCTTGCCAGAGGCATGCTTACACTACAGTTATAAAACTACAACATTAACACCCCTCCTTCAAAGTGCAGACACTGTACTTCCCATCTCCAGGACTCAAGTCCGGCCTGCCAGTTTCCCTGAATCCCTTCATAAATGTTACCTTGCTCACACTCCAACAGCACGTCAAGTCTTAAAAACCATTTGTCTCAACTCACTCCTATCAAATTCGCTCACGCATGCTTGCTGGAAGTTTAAGCCCCTCGCACACAAAACCTCCTTTACCCCCTCCTTCCAACCTTTCCTAGGCCGACCCCCACCCTGCCTTCCCTCCACTACAGATTTATACACTCTCGAAGTCATTCTATTTTGTTCCATCCTCTCTACATGCCCAAACCACCTCAGCAACCCCTCCTCAGCCCTCTGGATAATAGTTTTGGCAATCTCGCATCTCCTTCTAATTTCCAAACTACGAATTTTCTGCATTATATTCACACCACACATTGCCCTCAGACATGACATCTTCACTGCCTCCAGCCTTCTCCTTGTTGCAACATTCACCACCCATGCTTCATACCCATATAAGTGTGTTGGTATAACTATACTCTCATACATTTCCCTCTTTACTTCCATGGACAAAGTTCTTTGTCTCCACAGACTCCTAAGTGCACCACTCACCCTTTTTCCCTCATCAGTTCTATGATTCACCTCATCCTTCATAGACCCATCTGCTGACATGTCCACTCCTAAATATCTGAATACATTCACCTCCCCCATACTCTCTCCCTCCAATCTGATATCTAATCTTTCATCACCTATTTTTTTTCCTCGTCACCTTACTCTTTCTTAAATTCACTTTTAATTTTCTTCTTTTACATACCCTACCAAACTCATCCACCAACCTCAGCAACTTCTCTTCAGAAGTTAGATTCTTTATCTTTTAACCCCAGACTTCTTGCGAACACCCGTGCATTCACTTCTCTTACAACCCCATCTATAAATATACTGAACAACCAGTGAACAACCAGTAGAACTGATGAGGGAAAAAAGGTGAGTGGTGCATTGAGGTATATGTGGAGACAAAAAATGCTATCTATGGAGGCAAAGAAGAGAATGTATGAAAATATAGTAGTACCAACACTCTTATATGGATGTGAAGCTTGGGTTGTGAATGCAGCAGCGAGGAGGCAGTTGGAGGCAGTGGAGATGTCCTGTCTAAAGGCAATGTGTGGTGTAAATATTATGCAGAAAATTCGGAGTGTGGAAATTAGGAGAAGGTGTGGAGTTAATAAAAGTATTAGTCAGAGGGTTGAAGAGGGGTTGTTGAGGTGATTTGGTCATTTAGAGAGAATGGATCAAAGTAGAAAGACATGGAGAGCATATAAATCTGTAGGGGATGGAAGGCGGGTAGGGGTCGTCTTCGAAAAGGTTGGAAGGAAGGGGTAAGGGAGGTTTTGTGGGCGAGGGGCTTGGACTTCCAGCAGGCATGCATGAGCGTGTTCGATAGGAGTGAATGGAGACGAATGGTATTTGGGACCTGACGATCTGTTGGAGTGTGAGCAGGGTAATATTTAGTGAAGGGATTCAGGGAAACCGGTTATTTTTGTATAGCCGGACTTGAGTCCTGGAAATGTACAATGCCTGCACTCTGAAGGGGGGGTTCGGGATATTAGCAGTTTGGAGGGATATGTTGTGTATCTTTATACGTATATGCTTCTAAGCTGTGGTGTTCTGAGCACCTCTGCAAAAACAGTGATTATGTGTGAGTGAGGTGAAAGTGTTGAATGATGATGAAAGTATTTTCTTTTTGGGGATTTTCTTTCTTTTTGGGTCACCCTGCCTTGGTGGGAGATGGCTGACTTGTTAAAAAAAAAAAAAAAAAAAAAAAAAAACAGTGACACTGCCCATCCTTGTCTAAGGCCTACTTTTTCTGGGAAATAATCTCCCTCTCTCCTACATACTCTAACCTGAGCCTCACTATCCTTGTAAAAACTCTTCACTGCTTTCAGTAACCTACCTCCTATTCCATACACCTGCAACATCTGCCACACTGCCCCCCTATCCACCCTCTCATACGCCTTTTCCAAATCCATAAATGCCACAAAAACCTCTTTACTCTTATCTCAATACTGCACCTATATGTTTCACTGTAAACACTTGGTCTACACACCCCTTACCTTTCCTAAAGCCTCCTTGTTCATCTGCTATCCTACTCTCCATCTTACTCTTAATTCTTTCAATAATAACTCTACCATCCACTTTACCAGGTATGCTCAACAGATTTATTCCCCTATAATTTTTGCACTCTCTTTTGTCCCCTTTACCTTTAAACAAAGGAATTATGTATGTTCTCTGCCAATCCCTAGGTACCTTACCCTCTTCCATACATTTATTAAATAATAGCACCAACCACTCCAAAACTACATCCCCACCTGCTTTTAACATTTCTATCTTTATCCCATCAATCCCAGTTGCCTTATCCCTTTCCATTCTACTCACTGCCTCACAAACTTCCCCCATACTCACAACTGGCTTTTCCTCACTCCTACAAGATGTTATTCCTCCTTGCCCTATACACGAAATCACATCTTCCCTATCTTCATTATCAATTAACAATTCCTCAAAATATTCCCTCCATCTTCCCAATACCTCTAACTTTCCATTTAATAACTCTCCTCTCTTAATTTTAACTGTCAAATCTATTTGTTCCCTAGGCTTCCTCAACTTATTTATCTCACTCCAAAACTTTTTCTTATTTCCAACAAAATTTATTGATAACATCTCAGCCACTCTCTCATTTGCTCTCTTTTTGCATTGCTTCACCACTCTCTTAACCTCTCTTTGTCTCTATATATACTCTTCCCTCCTTGCATTACTTCTACTTTGTAAAAACCTCTCATATGCTAACTTTTTCTCCCTTACTACTCTCTTTACATCATCATTCCACCAATTGCTCTTTTTTCCTCCCACACCCACTTTCCTGTAACCACAAACTTTTGATGAACACTAACACTACATTCTTAAACCTACCCTATACATCTACGACCCCATTGCCTATACTCTCACTAGCCCATCTATCCTCCAATAGCTGTTCATATCTTACCCAAACTGCCTCCTCTTTTAATTTATAAACCTTCACCTCCCTCTTGCTTGCTGCTTCCTTAGCTCTAACTCTCTCAGATACTCCTGACTTAATCCCATTTATTTCTCCCTACTGAAACTTGCCTACCCCCTTCAGCTTTGTTTTGCTTAGGGCCAGGACATCCAACTTCTTTTCATTCATAACATCAGCAATCATCTCTTTCTTATCATCCGCACTACATCCACGCACATTCAAACATCCCAGTTTTATAAAGTTTTTCTTCTTTTGTTTTTTAGTAATGTGTACAAGAGAAGGGGTTACTAGCCCATTCCTATACTCAAAATAATGCAGCTGCATCATGCTGAGTTGAATAACACTATACACAGACCAATCACCCCATGCACATAGAACTCCTTCCCAAACTATCTGCTGCACTCAGAAAATTACAAATACAAGAGAAAAAATAAAACTGACATTCAGATTACAATACTTTTTCAATAAGAATTCTAGTAAACAGAAATTTGTGCATTTCAGACACTCCCAGGCACAAATTAGTTGAAACAAAAATATGTTAGGTAGTCAGCATCATTTATGAATACTGTACTTGTAGCCTGAAATATCAAACAATTTATGAATACATAATTTGAAAACTGTAAACTTAATAAAACTTGTTATGTATCAAGGTATTCTTGAAAGTTAGTTTTTTATAACAGAAAAATAAGATGTTTTTATAACAGAAAAATTTATCACTATATATAAAAGCTACTAACTGGAAAGGAATTTACCTGGGTAATTCATTGTATGGAAAAGAAGGAAATATGAGCATCACCTTGAATCCAGTGATGCTTGTGCGTAAGGCTCTTGGTAGTGATGAGTTTGCATGGCAATGTCTTGTCAGCTGCAACAATGCACTCTGGAGAGTTGGCACACACTCCACACGAGTCACAGAAAGCCCCATCACTAACCATTATCAGTTTCTGACATATGTTGCAGAAGCATGGCTGTTAAGGAGATGTGATGTCAAACTCACTAACACTCCAGTATTTATGCCTTGCATAATGTATAACATCATAGCTGTTATGTATAGTACATGCAAACTGAGATTTCACAGTTGTTAATGAAAAATATTTTATAAATATGGCATCATATGAAATCAAATGTGGGTCAGTCTTTTCCTACAAGCTACAAAAATGTAAGAATTGAAATGGATTTTTATTTAATCTATGCATTATCAAGGGTCCCACTGTTGCTACAAATTAACAGTAAATATATGCTAAAAAGCTTAAACTATCACAGGAACTTCTAACTTTTCTATGCTTAACAAATTTCATTTCCACCTTTTCTACTTAGACTTAATAAAGTATTTTATTACCCCATTATAACCAGTGGTGGCTTGTAATTCCAGTAATACCTATACTATCGTACCGCATCAAACTTCTATTTTTAATCATTTTTTATCTCGTTTCAACCAAAAAAAAAAAAAAAAAATGAAAAACTCGCTTATAAATACATTGAAAACAACATACAACAAATTTTTCCTGTAACATATTTGTCAGTTGCAAATTATTTTAGTGTAAAGTTGATGAAGTCATACATCTGGCAGTGAGCATCTGGGGAGACTGCAGTTCTGCAGTTCCTATGGATGAGCTGCCCCTGGTTACAACACACATTTACTAAACACCTTACTCTAGGATGCCCTTTACTGCTGAAACCAAAATTTAAGAAGGTTCAACCTTGGTTTACATAGTTGCTTTAAAACTTTGTAATACATGCTCAAGCACTTAGGATAAAAGATTGCAAGAATTTTTAAAGCTTTAGATGACATGTTATGTCAGTTCAAAATACAGCGAAGGGATAACAACACTTGACTATGTGATACCAAATGATGATAGTACACGAGTGCACACACAGACAATAACAAAGTGACGTGGGCTTAGCCAGCAGCCCCACTTACTGTGCATCGTATTGCCTTCTAATTATTTTAAATTTATTTTTAATTTACGTATTTCTAATTTTAAATTTATTTCTATTTTAATCTTATTTCTAATTATTTTAAATTCATTTTAAATAAATAATTTGAGTGTGAGTTTGAATTTGAAAATGGACAAGTGCTGGATGTGGCCCATACTGGGCAAACCTGTGATGCAGTGGACTTGGTCCACTGCACTGATGGTCCTACCAGGCACCTTCTGGATGGCTAAACATACAATGCAATACATTCTGTCAGCTGCATCAAAGAATCTACTGGACACCCCCATACAGAGAATTAATCAAGCCTTTGTCTGGAAAAAAGTTTTGACTGTTATCTATTATACTAATGATTTACTGTAACTTTACTCAAAAACCCACTGAGGTTCATTATTTAAATTTTTTGTGTTATATAAACACTATTTTTATATTCATGATAAAGCACTAAACCTGCAGGGATCATACAGAATCTGGTAATAGGAGACAATCAGATCTGATCAAAGAGGAAGAGGGTGGCTCCTATTCTCTGAATCAAGAACTCATCAATGATGTCAATGCACCCTCATTGAAGGATATGTTGAAGATAAAATAAAATTTTAGTACATAAGGTTTCGGTAAACTTTATGGCACAAATTATAGAAGCATAAATTCACAAAAAAATAAGAAATGGATATGAATATAAACCAATAAAAAATGTGGTTAATAAATTGCCAATCAAAAGGTGTTTTTACATGTTACTTAACATTATTATATACATGCTATCTAAGCACTCGAAACATTACTGGAAGAGACTACAATGTTTGAAGCAAATTTATTATTAAAAAAGTTGTGAAAAATAACATTTTAAAGCAGATGAATTGGTGGGGTACCATAAATTATATACTGAAAAATACCAACAAAATATCAATTGACCAAAATACCTATTGACAAAGCCCTAATTTTACCCTAGAAAACATGCGAGTGACACACCACCGATGGCCTTTCATCACATCTCTAGCATGCAAGTTGTAGTGGTGTCGTCTGTTGGTAAGCTTGACAATAACTATAACTGCCAAGGCTAATACGATGCCGAAAGTTATTTGCTCTGTTGTTTCACTCATTCGGCTGTTGAAAAATAAATAAAGGTCAATCAGTTGAGAAGTATCAAATATTTCTATATGGTAAGGCATGAGTTCATTAAGATAGAAAATCATTACCAAGCCTGACCTTTTAACCCTTAAATGGTCCAAACAAATCGACGTTCAAATCCGTAGTGCTCCAAAAGTAGATCTACGTTTTTTTTTACATATTTTCAAAAATAACAAAAAAAATGTAGATAAAAGTTTTTTTTTGCACATTTTTAAATGTAAAACAAGAAAGAAGATCTACATTTTTTTACATACTTTCAAATGTTGAAAAAACGTATATATACGTTTGGACCATTTAAGGGTTAAAAGTAATATATATATACAGCCTCCCCTCACTTAACAACGGAGTTCTGTTCCTGTGACCTCATCGGTAAACGAATTCATTGCATACTATACTACAATGGCAGTGGGTTTGTGTCAACCATCTTTGATATTGTTTTAATGTCACCTTAGTGGCCCGGTGGCCTGGTGGCTAAAGCTCCCGCTTCACACACGGAGGGCCCGGGTTCGATTCCCGGCGGGTGGAAACATTTCGACACGTTTCCTTACACCTGTTGTCCTGTTCACCTAGCAGCAAATAGGTACCTGGGTGTTAGTCGACTGGTGTGGGTCGCATCCTGGGGGACAAGATTAAGGACCCCAATGGAAATAAGTTAGACAGTCCTCGATGACGCACTGACTTTCTTGGGTTATCCTGGGTGGCTAACCCTCCGGGGTTAAAAATCCGAACGAAATCTTATCTTATCTTATCTTATCTTGCACCATTTATAACATTTCTGGTATATTTTTAAATGTTTATACAGTAGTGTACTGTATACTGTAATATCAGCTCTAATATACATTATTTAGGTATGCATACTGGTCAGAAAGCCCATCAACCATAGGATCTAATCTCGCCAATAAAATCCCACATACTAATGCCCATGCCGGGGACTACCTAGATGGGAATTTCCCAAATTCCTTCTATCTTGCACTTACTGAGCCCTCAGAAGTCACCGAGATTATAAAGTCACTTAAAAACAACTCAGGGAATCTGTCTAATGTCCCACCATTACTGTACAAGCGAGCGGCCCATATCCTTTCGCATGCTATTTCATTACTTTTTAACAAGTCACTAGAAACTAGCACCTTCCCGAAACTACTCAAGATGGCAAGGGTTACACCAATACATAAAGGTGGTGACCCTACAGACTTAAACAACTATAGGCCAATATCAAACTTACCATTGCTATCCAAAATCTTTGAGAAACTCGTGCACAGGAGACTATATTCATTTATAACAGCACAAAAATACTCAACCCCTGCCAATTTGGATTTAGGAAAAATAAAAGCACTAATGATGCAATCATAAAAATACTAGATCTGCTTTACACAGCATTGGAAAATAAGGAATATCCACTAGGAATTTTTATTGACCTAAGAAAAGCTTTTGACACAGTAGACCACAACATCCTACTCCACAAACTTGACCATTACGGTATAAGAGGCCATGCGCTTGCTTATTTCAAATCTTACCTTACTAATAGGTATCAGTATGTTACCATTAAAGACACAGCATCAACAACACGGCCACTTGATACTGGAGTTCCGCAGGGAAGTGTCCTTGGTCCCCTGCTCTTCCTCATATACATCAATGATCTTCCAAACGTATCCCAACACCTGAAGCCCATTCTCTTTGCTGACGACACGACTTATGTCATCTCTCACCCTAATCTTGCCACCCTCAACACCATTGTTAACGAGGAGCTGATCAAAATATCGACTTGGATGACAGCCAATAAACTTACGCTTAACACTGACAAAACCTACTATATTATGTTTGGTAGCAGAGCAGGAGATGCACAAATTAACATTAAGATCGACAACACTCTAATTACCAGACATAATGAGGGCAAATTCCTAGGCCTATACCTTGACAACAACCTGAATTTCAGCACCCATATCCAACACATAACCAAAAAAGTATCCAAAACAGTTGGGATCCTCTCCAAGATACGATACTACGTGCCGCAAAATGCCCTTCTCACACTATACCCTTCTCACACTATACCACTCACTTATTTATCCATACCTCACCTATGCTATTTGTGCTTGGGGATCAACTGCAGCAACACACCTAAAGCCAATAATAACCCAACAAAAAGCTGCAGTAAGAATAATCACTAAATCCCATCCCTGGCAACACACCCCCCCCACTCTTCGTAGATCTAAACTTACTCCCTGTTCAGTACATCCACACTTACTACTGTGCAATCTACATCTACAGGACCTTAAACTCCAATATCAACCTTGACCTAAAACGCTTTCTTGATAGTTGTGACAGAACCCACAGGCATAACACCAGACACAAACATCTCTACGACATTCCCCCATGTCCGACTAAACCTTTACAAAAATTCAATGTATGTCAAAGGCCCTAAAATCTGGAACACCCTACCTGAGAACTCTAGAACTGCAGACACATTCATCACCTTCAAAACTACCATTAGAAAACATCTTATCTCCCTGATAAACCCCATCAACTAACTACACGAATACCACCTGGTGGTTCACACTTACATTCACTCACCCATTTGACCATAAACAGAAATATTAATCTCAATCTTAAAATAATGAATCCTATGATACTCCAATACTGAAACTATGTACTGTGCCAAAACAAAAGCATTCACATTGCTAAACTCACAAACTAGTATTTAGCCACTTAGCCATAATACCAACTTACCTCATAATTTGTAATATTTTAAAATAAAGAATTAAACTAAGTCTGCCCGAAATGCCTAGCCATGCTAGGCATTCTAGTGGTACACTCTGTAATCATTATTTAACTATATGTAAACCACACAACAACCAAATTCTGTAAATTCAACATTGTAATCTTTATAGAGAATAAACTTTGAATTTGAATTTGAATCATAAGTCTGAGTCATTGGTAAATGAGTACATCACTAAGTGAGGAGAGGCTGTACTGTATATAATATGTACATATTATCTTTTGATTTTAAGACTGATAAAACTGGGAAAAAGTTTTTAAATTATGAAGAAAATTTAAGTGATTTTGCTTAAGCCAAGGAAAAATGCCTGTAAATAATTAATTTTGACAACTGCACTGACTTGAATGTTTACCTGCATTAATGGTTAACAAAGTTTAATTTTCTACCCAAAGTAACTTTGCTAAAATTAATATAATGTACAGCTTAATCCTACCCAATCTATCACTTAAATACATGATATATTTAGGCGAGTTAAACAGATGACTTGTAGAATTATTATTACACTCAAAACTAAGTGCTAAACTCACAAGGGCTATACAGCAAACTGGTAGTTCAATGATAGAGCTGGATGAGATATACCTGGAGTATACCTGGAGAGGGTTTCCGGAGTCAACACCCCTGTGGCCCAGTCTGTGACCAGGCCTTATGGTGGATCAGGGCCTGATTAACCAGGCTGTTACTGTTGGCAGCATGCAACCCGATGTATGAACCACAGCCCGGCTGGTCAGGTACTGACTTTAGGTGAGTGTATAGTGCCTTCTTGAAGACAGCCAGGGGTCTATTGGTAATCCCCCTTATGTATGCTGGGATGCAGTTGAACAGTCCTGGGCCCCTGACACTTATTGTGTTGTCTCTTATCGTGCTAATGGTGCCCCTGCTTTTCATTGGGGATGATGTTGCATCATCTGCCAAGTCTTTTGCTTTCATATGGAGTGATTTTTGTGTGCAAGTTTGGTACTAATCCCTACAGGATTTTCTAAGTGTATATAATCATGTATCTCTCCTGCCTGCATTCTAGGGAGCCTCTCCTCACACCAGCTGCCTCTGTTCACCTAGCAATTAATCAGGAACTGTGTTAAAAAACTGTTGTGGGTCACATCCTGTGGGATGAAGTATACCTGATATGACAAGATGAATGACATAATAACTTTTGCAATGTAAATGATTATAATGGACAGTTTGGGACCAATGTAAATGATAATTAAAATAAGTACAAATTCTTTTTTTTAACATGCTGGCTGTATGCCACTGAGGCAAGATGACCCAAAAAAAAAGAAACAACTTTCACATCAATCACACATAATCATAGTTTAGATGTCACTCTAAACCCCTTCTTTAAAGTGCAGGCACTGTACTTCTCACCTCCATGACTCAAGTCCAGCTAACTGGTTTCCCTAAGTCCCTTCATAAAATATTACCCTGCTTACACTCCAACAGCTCATCAAGTCCCAAGAACCATTCATCACCACATTTAACACACTCACACAAGCCTGTTGCATATCCAAGCCCCTCCATCCTTTCCTAGGATGACTCCTACCCCTCCTTCTCTCCACTAGATTTATACACCCTCCAAGTCATCCTATTTTGCTCCATTGTCTCTAAATTACCAAACTACCTCAAAAAACTTTCCTCAGCCATCTAAACAATACTTTTAGTAATACCACACCTCTAATTTCCACATTATGAATTCTCTGCATAATATTTACCTCACACATTGCCTTTAGACATGACATCTCACTGCCTCCAGCCTCCCAAACTCATATAAAAGTGTTGGTTCCACTATACTCTCATACATTCCCTTCTTTGCCTCCATGGATAAAGTTCTTTGTCTCCACAAATACCTCAATGCACCACCCACCCTTTTCCCTTCATCAATTCTATGATTTACCTTGTCTTTCATAAACCCTTCTGCCGATAAGTCTGCTCCCAAATGTTAGAACACATTCACTTCTTCCATATTCCCTCCAATCTGATATCCAATTTTTCTTTACTAGCTTGTTTGATACTCTAATCACCTTACTCTTACCTATGTTCACTTTCATCTTTCTTCCTTTACAAACCCTCCCAAACTCATTCACTAACTTTTGCAACTTTTCTTCAGAATCTCCCAAAAGAACAGTATCATCAGCAAAAAGTAACAGTGTCAATTCCCATTTTGTACTAGATTCCTCATAATTTAATCCCACCCCTCTCCCCAACACCC